CACTGTGAAATGGTGGAAATTTAATAGCGTTATCGAATCTCACCTTAAATTCGGGTTCTTTCCTGGAAAGACGTTTGATCTCCCGGCTCAGCTTGAAGGCCCTCAACATGGCGTCTTCACTGGCAATGGACAGATACGCCCTGCTGGCTATACCTTTGTACGTGTTGATGCGGGACAGCGAGAACTTAAGCAGGTCATACTTGCGTCCATTGCTGCACTCCAGGCACGCACAAGAGATCTTGTGAGGAGTCGTGATGATATGGCCTTTCTTCATCAACATCTCCACGATCTCATAGAGGTCCTTCTCACAGGCCAGTGTCAGCGGGGTCACGCCAGGAGCAAAGCGGGAGTTGTCGATGGAGTTGTCGAAGAAAGCCGAGGAGAACGACTTAATGTCCATCTTGCTCCCTTTCTCCTGGTCCAGGCGGTCCAGCAGCATTTTGACCACGTGCGGTTGGTTGGTGTCAACAGCCACCAGGAGGGCTTCATGGATCTGTCTGAAGTCAAACTTGACGCAGTGCAGCAGAGTCTTCATGATCTCCTCATTCCCCGTCCGGATGGCGAGATTGAGAGCTTCCCGCCAGGACCGGTCCTCGCTGTCGTCCAGCTGCCGCAGGATCCCATCGCTGACCTGTAGGAGCTGCTGGACTTGGGTGAGGTTACCATCATGAATGGCGTTGATGAGGGACACTGGAAACTTGAGCTTCTTGTTGACGATCTCCCTCCAGTTGGCTGCCTGCGGAAATGAAGATACAAAGTGTGTTAATGACCAGACAGAGGTGGTTTGGAAGGTTGAGGACGGCCATACACTATATTGCCAAAAGTATTGGGCCCCTCCAAATCATTGGATTCAGGTGTTCCGTGACATTTCCTGGCTACTAAATATTCCGCGGTCACCTGTTACTGGGATTATAACAAAGTGGAAGCAACTGGGAACAACAGCAACTCAGCCAGGAAGTGGTAGGCCACGTCACATGACAGAGTGGGGTGAGCGCATGCTGAAGCGCACAGTGCGCAGAAGTCGCCAACTGTCGGCAGAGTCAATAGCTACAGACCTCCAAACTCCATGTGGCCGTCAGATTGGCACAACAACAGTGCGTAGAGAGCTTCATGGAATGGGTTTCCATGGCCGAGCAGCTGCATCCAAGCCTTACATCACCAAGTGCAATGCAAAGCGTGGGATGCGGTGGTGTAAAGCACGCCGCCACTGGACTCTAGAGAAGTGGAGGCGTGTTCTCTGGAGGGACCAATCACGCTTCTCTGTCTGGCAATCCAATGGACGTGTCTGGGATTGGCGGTTGCCGGGAGAACGGTACTTGCCTGACTGCATTGTGCCAAGTGTAAAGTTTGGTGGAGGGGGGATTATGGTGTGGGGTTGTTTTT